ACACACACACACACACACACACACACACACACACACACACACACACACAAACGGCGCGAAACCAATACGTTCCGCTAAACTACGTCAGGAGGATATAAACCATTACTGCGAAGCGTTTGCCTACATTTTTTCATAAATCAAACCCCGTTAGTAGAAAACTGACGGGCCAAAGACAAATAATTGTATTAAGCTGGTTTCGTATTAACCACTTCAACATATTATATTAACCCCGAATTAACAAACAAGGTGTGTACAAGGTATTTTATATAGGTTTATATGGATAATTAAGAACTTTAGTAGCGTTAAATTGTTCACAAATAGATACGATTACTGCAAAGCCTAAACTCCTCATTCAATTACTACAATTCATAATTACTACAGTCGCACCCCATTAGTACGAAACTGACGGGCCAAAGAAAAATAATCTTATTAAGCGGGTTCCGTATATCATATTAGCCTTAATTTGAAGAGAAAAACAATGGATTAGCAGGTGTGTACAAAGTGTTTTATATAGAAATGAATATACCGGGACAGAAAATGTTATGTTAGTAACAGGATCCTTGTATTATTGTCTTAAGTCAATATTTTACTAAAAGATTACTATGAATCGGGCCGGGAGTTAGAGAAATCATCGTAGTCTCATCAGCGTACCGAGCGAACATGGCCGCCGGAGGCGGCCATTTTGCGAGTAGATATAGAATGAAGACTCTTCATTCTATATGAAGACTAGCTCTTCATTCTATATCTATGGTCAAACTGATTGCTACTGCCCTCCAGAGAGACATGATACAAGATTGCGTGGCACAGCTTTGCTGTTGATCCTGAGCGCTGCGCGCGGATGAGACGCGCAGTTCCGCGGGATATGCGCACGCGACCGCGAGGATGTTCAAGTATGAAGCGCTGTACGCAGTAGAGACGTGCGCCAAATTCGAGGCCCGGCGCACGTCTCCACAGCGGTCCGCGGATGGTCTGTCGTTTTAGAAGATAACAATAAAGACTTTGTTCTAAATAAGAACTATCGGCGGCTAAATAAGAGCAATATACATACTTTTGAATTTCTTGACTAGTCAGTCAAAGGGCTTGTTGGGGGACCATTATGAAGAGCTTCCAATTGAAATGGCCCATGAAATTGTCAAGTGGAATTGTGTTTTTAGGAACCCCAAAGAAAATGTCTTCCTCTTACATGCACCACCTCCAAGATCAATCACGCATACAGGCGTAAACAATAACAGAGATAAAATTGTGTTGAGTTTATTGCTCTTGACGCACGTGCATTGACGTACAAGACTGATAAAAGCACAGGCACTTGGAACGTCTCAATAAAAACAAATCTTCACACAATTTTTCACAATGATCGACCGCATGCGTGCAAAATAGGTCAACGTATTTGAAACATATACGGTTAGTACTTACTGTGACATATCCGTGACTAACTGACACCACTAAATTGGTAAAATGTTCCATGCACCTTAAGAAATGCTGCGAAATTACAAGGTTATCATCGAGAACTTCCGACACCGCCCGACTTGATGCCACAAAGCTATATGTAAACAAACACGCGTGTTGCGAGGTGCGTGCCTCCGATATCAATTTCTAGGCCCGCTAAGCCAAGCATAAAGCGCGCGGGCAAGACGTCACACACACAGCTACGTTCATTGGCTAAAACAATCGAGTAGCGCGGTTAGGGATTTTCGGAATTATTTAATTTTAAGAAAAGTTTAATGTTCAATGAATGACGCACTCGTTTACTTTCGAAAGCGGGTAAAAATGGCAAATTTTTCCACTTTGGTGCGAAATGCATCGGCCGGGCCTTTCATTATTTACGAAAAGCAAGCAGTCTCGCAAAACACCTACACGCAGTAACGGGTCACGTCGTTGACGCCCCATTCATGCCCATCAACGAAGAAGGCGGGGTTATTCTGATTACGGAAATGCGAAAATGCAACAAAAGGACGTAGCGCAGTGCGCTAAACAGCGTGTTATTTTCGTATTTGTGCCAAACTCTATCGTAGGAAACCGTTCTAGCCTAGCAGAATGCCCTAGTTCCTGAGATCGGTGATTTGGTAGTCTAATGGGTCCCCATATTGAAAAATATAAAACACTGGTGCGGCGTAGGCTGTGATTGGAATACACAAAGTGTCAATCCTCGGCTCGCCTCGGCATCATGGCAGCATCACGTCTAGCGTCGATGTCGAGACATTGCACACACACACACACACATCTGCTTTGGATTTTCTTATTCAAATACGCCGTCTCGTTCCATAACGTTTATCTTTTTTGACGTGCTAAGACGCGCTAGCTTGCCCACCACCGGCACCACCATCACCACTACCGCCACCAGCAGTAGTAGTAGTATAGTGGTTGTTTAGGCAGCAGCAGTAGCGGCATCAAGCTTGCATATAGTAGTAGAAAAAGAATCAGTATCAACAGCAGCAGAAGTAGCAGCAGCAGCAACAGTATCGCCAGCAGCAGTAATAGTATCAGCAGTATTAACAGTAATCGCAACCGCAACAGCAACAGCAGCAACAACAATAACAACAACAACAATAACAACAACAACAACAGCAGCAGCAGCAGCAACAGCAACAACAACATCATGATCAGCAACAGCTAGCAGCAGTAGCAAGTATTGGCAGTAGATCAGTAGTTCACTCCAAGGAGGCGCTCGTGAAGTCGCGACCTTGGTTGATGCTAGTAACAGGTATTACAGGAAACGAAATCGATCGTTTTCCATTGGCGACCCTATGCTAAGCTAAAAATCCCTATTACTCAGCCAGATTACTTAAAAAATATTCAGCGCCAACCGTCGACGCTAAATTGCAATTATGGCAGAATATATAATTTGTTAACTCGAATGTTCATCCATTATTTTTTGCGACGTGTTTTTCACAAAACAAGCAAAACGGGCAATTTATACGGCACGTGTTTCACACTGAAAAGTAGGTTTCGCTTATGCACGGAAAGCGAGACACAGCCCACGATATGAATGCACACGCAAAGAGCCAACCGCCTCAGCGAATAAAACAAGAAGTGCAATTTCTGATAGCAGTTTAAAATCCCGTACAGCCTCTTACATTGAAAAGTTAAAACTTACATCACTTGCACACATCCGCTAAAGATGTCATTATGTCACTTCCTCCAGCTCCGATTTGTTGATTTGGGACTTTTAATACCTAATATGGTTGTCTAGGCGATAACTGTCTTTCACGTGTCTATTCGAGCGCCTGCATACCTGCACGAATCTATGCTTAAATCCGCACTACTCATTTTATTAATAAATATTAGGTGGTTGTCTCTAGCTAATAGCCGTGGGCACTTGGGTTGCTAAGCAACCGTGAATGGGAGTGTCGAATTTATGTGATTTGTGGCATGGCTGGAAACTGGATACGTAAATGTTCTCACTAAGCATAATTAAACGCTACGTCGCTCGCCGCGGGTGACATCGGAGATCTCTCGCGCTCTGTCCCTCACGCTTGTTCTTTAGCTCCTCCCTATACTCTAGCTCCCTCTGTTTCTCTTTCTCTCACTTTCGCTCTCTCTCTCTCTCTCTCTCTCTCTCTCTCTCTCTCTCTCTTTCGTTCTCTCCCCATCTCTTTTACGCTCTCTTACTTTCTCTCGCTCTCTTTCCCCTTTTTTTCTTTCTTTTTTCACCTTTTTTTCTGTTTTCTCTTCCTCTATCTCCCATGCTCTCTCTCTTATCTCTCTTTCTTATTCGCTTTTTTTGTTCTTCCTCTTTCTCTTCACCACATCATTTTCTGTTCTCTCTCGCGCGCGGTCTCGTCCTCTCGCTCTCCATGTATCTCCTCTATTCAGTTGGAATCTACGCTACTTTAGCAGCTGCAAGAACGAGCCTTGCGTGAAATATCATTAACTATTTTATCACATTGGGAACAGTGGCAGCTAATTCTATAGAAGTGAGATCTAAAATCGTTCACCGTAAAGGCATTTAGCGCTTAGTGAAAATACGCGACAGCAAAACGCGAGTATTGGCGAATGCTGATAAATGATGAAAACACGCACAACGCGTGCTAACGCATCTATGGAATAAATCTAATGAGCATGATTTAGGATTTAGGTGTGTAGCCAACCGACAGTTATCCGGCCTATACGCACCAGCGCTTTTATATGTATCCGTTGGCTTCCTAATAAAAAACAGTGATTTAATACAGGTCGCAGATCTCGATTGCTATAAAATGTAAGGTAATGTGCGAATTTGGTCATTTTTACTTGAGAAATCAATTGACAGACATCTGCTGCGTGTATTGTCCCCGTGGATCATAACAATTTGGGCGTTTTGGATTTCTGCGTAATTTGGAGGTGTTAGGGATTGGTGCCGTAATATTCGCACATTTAAGGTTAATCCGTTTATAAAACACATTCACCTATTTAAGCTGGCTCACGTCAAACCATTCACGTTAATCAATGCTGGTTAATCCGTTTACATAAATCTATATACTTGATCACATTCATGTTAATTAACTAATGTTAGCATATCTCCATTCATCTGTTAACGCTAATCCGTTCAGGCTTATACGTCGATAATATAGCATATCGTATTATACTGTTTCTCCTTATAGTTTTTATGATAGTTTAATTGTTACGTTAATACTCCGTGATATGCAAATGCTCCGTGCATACGGGATGGAGGTATACCTGATGGATTATACCTCAAGGTGTGACGCTTGCTGTAAACCATAGCAAAGTTTATATGTTTTACATCCATAATTACTGCCGAGGATGGTGCTTAAAATAACGCATTCGATATTATTTTGTGTAGTATAGCTACACGCACGAAACTGCGCGAACTGCCAAGACAATCACTGTCACGTAAAATGACACAGCTTAATTGCCAGTCTCCCTATCCACCCGTACAGGGAATAGTTAAATCCACGTCACGGGCGCATGCGCACATGCGCAGTGTGAACTTACAGGTACAACTCACGCGCGCACGCAAACGCGTGTATGTATATTTAGAGTCATATAGATATACGTATACTCACACATATATATACACTCAGGCGCGGCTAACGATCTTCTTAGTTACTGCGAGCCGTGCTGAGGATTGCTTTGCACAGACCGCCACTCGCTAACAACACGGACGAACCGCAGGAGCGCCGCAGCGAGCGTGAGTCGATATGGCTTCCAAGCACGACAATTTCATGGACAAACTCAACTGCGTCTGCAGCATCGACTCGGAACAGTTTGTCGAATGCTGGAAACACTACGATATGGACGGTAAGCACGCGGTAACGGTTCGCCGACATAGCTAGCATCTTCAACTCGATTTCGTAAAACCCCACATCGCTATGCCACTCAGGTTAATTTATTTCCATTATTATTATTATTATTATTATTATTGTTATTATTATTATTATTATTAACACAAACCAAAATAAATATTTACTAATATTATTAATAATGTTATGTTTGATCGTGTTATTGATATTAATATTATATTATATATGTTATTATGTTAAATTTTTGTGAATTGTGAAATTTGTGGTGATAAAATTTAAAATAACTGAGTTACGCCTGGTAATCGTGGTGATGCTCTGTGCGTGGAATGCAATAACATATTTAACCATTTACCCTGTTTTGATTGCATTGTGGACGTACTCGTGATAAGAATCTAAGGCGATACTTTTAGAAATCCGGGAAAGATTTCCTAATACGTATTCCTAATGATATTAGCGAAAGACTCAGTAAACTAACAGGTTTCTTTTTTGATACACTTACTATGTTTATAATAACAAGTTTACGTGATGTGAACGAATGGGCGAATCGGATGTGCGAGCGAAGGAGGAAAGATAAAGATAAGGTTGCGAAAGATAGAAAGAAAGAGCGCGCACGAAAGCCATAGAGGTAGACAGGGATAAAGAGAAATAGACGGAGAGAGAGGGAGAGAGAGCGAGAGTGCGAGCGAGAGAGAGACCGGTGCGAGCGGGAGAACGCGCAAACGAGACAGAGAGAAGAGAAAGAGAGAGAGAGAGAGATAGATAGCGAGAGAGAGAGAGAGAGAGCGCGAGAGAGAGAGAGAGAGCGAGAGAACAAGAGAGAGAGAGAGAGCAAAGCAGGAGTACGCAGCTAGATTCACAACGCAGATATTGACATTTCATTAGCAAAACTCCACCGACCTAGCACATCGTCTGATGATCCAGCTATCGATCGTCACCCACGGCATTTCTGCCGGTGCATCCGTACCGGTGCACTCACGCGAGGGTGCGAGTTGGTATCTGGCACATTGCTCGCACCAGCCTATACATCGCAATTAGCTAAATGTCACATCCTTCTAGCCAAGTTCAAAGTTAGCCTCGTAATATAACGGTGCATGCATGGCCCTTGCGGTTTCATCCGCACACGTTTCGTTATGTAGTTATAGTTCCGCGGAGCTTAAGATGGAATCGGGGAGACAGAAGAGGCCTCCGGCCTGTAAGGATTCCTGTATCATCCTGGTATTTATTACGATCGCAAATAAGTATATTAGTGACGGAGATTAAAATCCCCGTCACGTATATAACGTCAGTCAATGCGGTGTGTGTGTGTGTGTGTGTGTGTGTGTGTGTGTGTGTGTGTGTGTGTGTGTGTGCGTGTGTGCGTGTGAAATCACGAATCCATAAAGATGAATTATAGTTGTTGTGTAGAGTTGGGACTTGGGACATACTGCGCCGCTTACTCTTTGGGCGGGGCGGGTTCCTCGTCATTTTGACACAAGAACATGCAAAGAACGATTAAGGTTACACTGACTTGGTGATTGCTGTAATAAAACAGACAGGTTAACTGGCGAATTTTATCTCGATTTGGATCCAAAATGTTTAATATCCTTTGCGGTTTCTGCGCGGTGAGTAGGATACGCGACCTTTAATGGTACTGTGCTGTTCACGTAACGTAACAATGTTGTTGCAGCATGTTTCTGTCTATGTATGCTGCCGCAGTGTGTTGTCTCCGTAACGTGACAATGCTGTTACATCGTGTTTCTGTCTATGTAACATGACAGCGATGATGCTGGAAAATGCTGTTGCAGCGTGTCGTTGTCCACGTAATGTGACAATGTTATGGCAGTGTGTTTCTGTCCGCGTAACGTGACCATGCTGTCGCAGTGTGTCGTTATAATTATTATCTATTACCGTGGCAATGTTGCTTTGCAGGTAATGGCTTCATCGAAGGCGAGGAGATGGACAAGCTGTTCAGTGATCTTATACACATGGCCGTGAAAGGACGGGTAAATATATAGCTTATTGGTTTTGAGCTTATTGTCGTTTTGGCCTATATGTATTTTTTCGATTTTGCATGCCGTTTTTCCTCTAATTGCTCCTCGTTTTCCTCCTCCTCTTCCTCCTCATATTTTCCCTCTTTTTTTCTATTCCTCCTCCTCTTGCTCCTATTCATCACCCTTCTCCTCCCTCTTCTCATCCTCATCTTTCTTCTTCTTCTTCCTCTTCTTCTACTACTACTTCTTGTTTCTCTTCTTCTTCAGTTTTCTCATCTTCCTCGTCGTTGTTGTCATAGTGGCCTTCTCCGTCTTCCTCCTCCTCCTCCGCCTCCTCCTCCTCCTCCTCCTCCTCCTCTCCCCCTCTCATCTTCTTATTCTTTACTATCATCATCATCATCATCATCATCACCACCACCATCATCTTCTTCTTCTTTTCTTCTACTTCTTGTTTTTAAATATTATTATTAGTAGTTTAAATTATTCGTCTTCTTATTTTATTCGTTTATTTTATTCGTATTTTATTCGTTTACCTAGTCGTCCTCCTCTTATTTCTCTTCGCTTTCTTCGTTGTCATTCACATAATTCTCCTTCTCTTTCTCTCGACTTCCTCGAGCTACCTTCTTTTTTTCGTCTCTCTAGCTTTTCCTCCTGCTTTTCCACCCGTTTTCTCCTGGTAAATATGGTCTTATGATGAAAATAGACAATTGCCGTTGTGCCTGTATCTCATGTTAGTCACCATATTATGCTTATATTGATGCCAGTTTTACATTTCTATATAAAATTGACAAATCTTGCCGTTTTTGTCTTCTTGTCCGGTTCACTAGTATGTCTTTGTGTTGCAATAATATTTTCAGGGAATGTTACTTTATATGCGCCACCGAAAACTTAAATATACTGTTCTGATTACGCAACTGGCGTTGGTAAACGAACAGCTTATTTTAGAAGTTTGTGCCCAAAAAACAATCGCACTTAATTATAGGTAGAAACGCAATCTATCTGCATGTTTCATTACGTCCCCATTGTGCATCCAGTTAGGAGATTGTATGTAGGCCTACTAATAACACAAAATGCCCACTAAAAGGTTTCCGCAATTGCGAGCATGGAGTTTGTCATAAGAAACCAAATTGGCTTTTTAGCTACGTTTAAATCCATTTCGTTGGCGAGAATTTGTTGTATCTCTGCACGCAAAGCCTCGGCGCTATGTTTAATGATATATGCAGTTCGGCATATATTCGCGTCGTTGCTATAATGCTTGCTAACGTTGTATAAATCTTCGTGACAAAAAACAAGTCTGTAAATGCGTGCGAGGAATAATTGTCGGAGAGAGTGTACCAATGCAACTTCATTAGCTACGGCATCGTGGAATGAAATACGGGAATGAAAGGTATTTACTGATGAACTGAAACTAAATAACGCTTAAAATTTTCAATGGCCTTAGAGCAAGTGCAATCTCTGGTTTACACAAATCCTTATAAAGGAATGTCGTTGAGTGCGCATGCGCATATCGTAGCTGTTGCGAGATCGCGGTTGTAGGAAGATGAATTTTCTACATAGGCACAGTGGTGTAAATACGCCCGCGCGCGAATAAATGCGTTTTTACGTTTGCAATAAGTGAAGACTTTAACAACGGGTTATAGATATCGGGAGAGAGAGAGAGAGAGACCGAGAGAGAGAGAGAGAGACCGAGAGAGAGAGAGAGAGAGAGAGAGAGAGAGAGAGAGAGAGAGAGAGAGAGAGAGAGAGAGAGAGAGAGAGAGAGAGAGAGAGAGAGAGAGAGAGAGAGACAGTAATTACAACACTCGAAGAGTGCTGACAGTGTAGAGTAGTGCTTCAATATTTTCGTCTTCAAATAATTGCTGCATGTGATACCCGGCGTCCGTGTGTGTCTGCGTACGTGCATGCAAGCGTGCACATGTGTGTGTGTGTGTGCATGTGTGTGTGTGCGCGCGCACGACAGCATACTGGCGGGCGTGTGTCAAAATTTGAATAGCTCGTAGCCGCCATTGTCTAGCACCTATTTCGATAACGATTGCGATATAATTTGTAGCGATCTGTGCGTGTATGCAATAATAAACATGGCGCACATATTCGCTGGGGTTTCGCAGCTTGACGCACTGTGATTATCGTCTGTGCATTTGGTCGCTAATGGCAGGGCCATGTTCCAGCGCCAATTCTCCGGCATATGTGCAGCGCTCTATTAAACATAATGCTCTCACGAGCAAAACATGTTTAGGCAAAAGCCGCCAATAATGACGCATTTTGGTCACGCTTGCGAAAAAAATGCGTCTTTGTCTGACTTTATCACGCGAGCGGGTATATAGGTGGCATACAACAGTAAGCCTCCGCAAATTGCACTATTTCGTCTCTAGAAACGGTTTTTTTGGCATTTGTTTTCGCCGAAATTCGACACTAGAGTGCAAGAATTTGCATGATGCACGCAAGTTAGATGCCTCGTGGATGTCTAGAAAGCATTAGAAGTAAAATTGGTCTTGTCGTGTATTTGTGACATTCCGTCAGGTGGCGTAGCCATAGCGACCGGTTGGTCATTTTTGTGTTTGAAATGTGTTCAGACTACTTTTGCAGAAATTCGCATCATAGAGCTCGCAAAAGTTTCAAGCGGAGCATAGAGCATGAATCTGTAGTTATTTAACATGAATAAAGTGTATGTTGTGTATGCGAAGTAACAGTGTGAGTATTTTTAATTAATTTCTGTTCGATGCTTATTCAGGCCTGCCGCCTATGAACGCCCTCTACTATTGTTCAACACCTATAATACGGAAAACCCTTCGTGACGGAAGTGACGTTGAGTGGCTAACCGGGCAAGGCCGGAAGATAAGCACTCACAGTTTCCGCTGCATTACCCTGATCCGTCCATATCATAAACACACGCCTTTGTACATACACACGCGCGCTCGCACGCACACGCACACGCACACACACACGCACACGCACACGCAAGCCCAAGCCCACATACATACATGCACACGGGTGTGTTTGCGCGCGCGTGTGTGTACGTATGTCTTACTCATGGCCAAGTAAAGTGGTAATATATTATATGGACTGCCACAAACAGTGTTAGTACTTTCTAGACAACCTGCACCGTTTTGAAATCGATATATTCGACAAAGACGAACCCATGTACTATAAACATTTCATGGATTTTAGGATGTTTTATTTTTTCTCAAAAGTGTCCATATTCCCCACGAATAGGGATACCGGTATATATCTATCTAAGTCAATGCGGTAAAAGCGCAAACATATTCCATAATAATTTCATATATTTGTTATGGTACATAATAAAAGAATAACATAATATAACGTCCAATTCATGTAGTGATAGATTCATAAAAATTAGTGATGCCCTCCTACTTACTTAGGACTATTCTTTTTAACGAAGTAATCCGACAATGTGTTTGGTGTTGTCGACACGTGTGGAAGTGTGGCTAATTTGGTATTTATCGCAATAGTAACAAACATAGCTATACACTGCCCATTATAGCTGGTGCACATTTTATTTACCAATTAGAACAAATCTGACATTTAATCCATTATGTCCAATAGCATCGGAGCAACGTACATCCGTTAAAGTCTTCTTTTTCCCTGCACTGGTCAGAGTGCCTACGCAGTGTTTACCTGTCTTGGCAATAAAGTTTGAAGTTTTATAGCCAATTGAATAGCTAAATGCATTCGCGTTATATGTAATAGAATCAGGTATTATTCTCCTACTATCATTGTATTCCCACAAGAGAACCGAGGAACACACTGACTTTGGTCTTTATTAAATCTAAGCACTCGGACCATTGATGTTAATTAGGGAATACGTACAGAGATGTCCTCATGGCTTCTGCATGACAAATATCAATGCCTAGTCTCCTCCAGCCATCTTCGCAGAATTGTTAAATGTGTGCGCCATTTTCCCTTGTTCGCAAAACTAAAGGATAAGGTCTTATATCAACCAACCCAAACAATCGTCACTCCGCATCAAATATATGGGGTTTCAGCCGCCATTCGATGAGCAATGCTTTCCGGCCAAACTGTACTATTTTCGAATCTAATTTTTAGATAACGTCTCTGCGTGGGTATCGACAAAGTAAACTCTACAGCTGCGTTCTTTAATGACATTTCGTTGTTTAGCACGGTTTTTTACGCACTTTTTTTACGGACCGTTTAACATCCTATACGCATCTCTGTTTCTTGGATACGTAAGTTGGCACTGACCGAATATTTTGGATAAACTGGTAGTGAGATCGGGACAAAAAGAAAGAGATGCTTTATGGCAGATCGTTGGTGCGGTATGTTATGAGATAAAATTCGCTTGGTGAATGACAGCGGCCATATCTTTGCAATGATGAAGAGTAGAAGTGTAATATATATATAGTATTAGGAGTGAACAATAATCTATTATTATTCACTCCTAATAGTAGGTATAGCGTGACACGTAAACTGCTACGCATGCAGTTCGCCAAAATAACAGCAGTTAGAGCACGTACCCGCTCTCCGTCTGCGTGGTTCCTGGGTGATTAATCCAAAGCGATAATCGATACAACAAACGCACCTACTCTAAATTCCCGCTGTGGCAATAGAAAACCAGTCGGTTAGAGAGTGGGAGAGCAAGCGAAAGCGAGAGAGCGAAGGCAAGAGAATAACATCTATGCTGCATTCTCAAAAGCAATGATTATTTAGCCATAGAAACAAATAAATAAACAACAACAACAACAAGTAAACAATAAACAAACAACGAGAAACGAGGTATCCTGCCAAAGGGATAGCATAGTAATGTGTGTGCGGATGTGTGTGTGTGTGCGTGCGTGCGTGCGTGCGTGTGCGTCTTCGTGTGCGTGCGTGCACGCGCGCGTGTATGTGTGCATGTGTGTGTGTGTGTGTGTGTTTGTGTGTGTGTGTGTGTGTGCGCGCGCGCGCGTGTGTGTGTGTGTGTGTGTGTGTGTGTGTGTGTGTGTGTGTGTGTGTGTGTGTGTGTG